TTTTTTTTTTTTTTTTTTTAAATAAACAATCCTTACGTGAGGCCCCTTTGGGGCAAGGCTACAAGGCATATGGTTTTAGATTTAAAATGCTAATTGCTGGGGATGGATGTGCCCCCCCGGGTACCTCAGTGATGGGTTCCTAATCATATCTATCAGCTTTGGATAAAGAGCTGCAGGTAAGCTCCTGAACCCCAAGGCAGTGCTGGCAGGTCACAGCCCCGCAGGTGGGGGAAAACACCAAACAGCCATCAGAACAGACGAGTGGGCTAATGTTGAGGTAGCACTGATGTAACTAGAGAGAGAGCCCACTATCATTCCCTTTCCTGTCCCCCTTCCTTCCCTGTTTCCTCTCGGTAAGATTTCCTATGCTCTATTGCCTGTTCTCAACTTTCTTCTGAAGCTGGCTCCTTTCTGCACCGTGGAGTTGTCCTGACCTGGGTTTTTATCCCTTCTGAAATGGTTGATTTTTCCCTACCAAGAATTTCACGAAGCTTCCACCCTCTCAATTCCTTTATCTATTGTTACCTCCTGGTCTTCCCTTTTTCCTCTTCTCCATTTGTCTGCTCTTTCCCTCATCGTTCCGTTTGTGTCCCCTTAGTCCTCTCTTTCAATCTCACTCTCTTTCCCTTGGTATTTCTTCCAGCCCTTTTAGAGGGGACCTGGAACTAAAGTCCTATTTGCTTCTTAAATATTTCACAAGGCAAGTCGGAGGATTGTTAGGTGTCTGTCTAAATATTGCCAGATTTACAGTCCTGCAAAATCTTAGCCCTCTCCTAATGGTCTTCATTTCAATTCTCCACTTTCCGTTCTAGCAGCGAATGAGGGGAGGAGGGGAGAATAATAAAAGAAATCACTTTGAAATGAAAAATTCTTAATGCAAGTACAAAAGATTAGCCAATGCAGCTACCTGGGACCCCAAAGACAGTTTTAATGCTGTAGTATTTTTGAAACGGCAATTGGAAAGATGAGATTATCCTGTTTCTGGGACCTTGAAATCAATCCTGAAAATCGCACTACACCAATGCAATGAAGCCTTCACCACTCCACAGTCCTGTAAAGTTCAGATGTTTACACTGTAAAATATCACATCAGAGAAGGACACGCATTGTCAAATTGCTTCCTTTGCTATCCTCCAATTGACTTTGCACAACCTGCCACAGTCTTTCACATTTCAACTCACCCTTTTGGTATGGCTCAAATGAATGTTTCATATTAAATGATTAAAATACTATTACTTGGTGATGGACATCATCAGTATTGTAACAGGAGGGAGTCAGTTCTACACCTGGTCAAATAGATGTCCAGTCTGTTTTTGCAAGGTCTATAACATTATTCTACTATTGTATCATAACTATAACATTTACTATGTATCATATAAAAGTCAATTATTACTTATTTCATATGGTAACTTAAGCCCATAAAGCTTTTCTGATCAATACAGAGGATGTTATGTCTAATTAAGCTGATCACTGATACCAGATCTGCTTTTGCTGTAGTGGAATTGAATTGTTCCCAGTTTCCAAATAGCAGGTACCTTGTTAAACCCACATGCACAGGATCAAACTTACCGTTCCCTAGGGAAATAGGATCTTCCCAGCTCTGCTGCTTTTTAGGAGGTCTCCTCTTTCTGTTAAAAATACAACTCTCTCTCCAGCTTTTGCTGCTTACTAGAGTGGGCTTCTTTCTCCTGAGTTCTTCACCTGCACAGGATCTTAGGGAGACTGTGCTGAAGATAACTCTTTCAGGTCTCCCCCACCTACAGCGGCTGTTCTCCAGCTACTAAGGGAGGTGCACCTCCTCTTTTATACCTGCACTCCCTTAGGAGTTCTGTGGGCTTCTCAACGTCAGAGGATCAATTATCCTCCCATATTTCAAAGGGCTGTGTTTAGCATCCTCTCTTTTTCTGAGGACGCAGGCAGGGAGATAGGGGAGGCTGTGCCTGCAGTTTGAGGATGGCTTGTATGCTTTCCTTTTATCTTTCAGAAGGCGAAGAGCAAATAACAACAATAATAATTGGGCACAATGAATGACAAATTTGCTTTGCAAGGTAAATATCTCCCCTTTAGCATGTCACTGGTCCTGGCAGCCCACAAAGGGGGCAAGTTAACTATTAATACTGTCTCACAACGCTTTTGTAGGAAGGTTTATCTTTCTGCCATTTTTTCCCCCCGATTATCAGGTTTTTCCTCTTCCTCCTTTGTTGCTCGCACCTGCTAGTATTAATGGGCCAGTTCATGCTTCAGTCGCTTGCAAACATTACAGCCCCATGTAAGGCCAGAGGAACATCTGGAGAGCTCTGCTCTGGGCACGTGCTCATCCCTGCTCAGCTTGCTGGGTCAAACCTCCATTGTGGTGGCTGGCAGTCCAATCCTGCTGCAAGAAGTTTTAGGGAGACCCTGTTTAAAACAGCTTTGATTCTAAGGGGACTGGGTGGCTTGTGGATGGCCAAAGAGGCTTTGGCTGCTATGTGGCCAGATGGAGACCAACCTGGAAAAGTCTGGAGGCCAAAATTGGGTCAAGGATCTGGATCCATATGTTGGCCGTGTACTATAGGGAGTTTGGAGGATACTTTGTTGATGGCAGTTTACCTTTGCCCTGCCTCTTACAAAGCTTCTGGCAAGCCCCTTGGAGCAGCTGGCTCTGGCTGTTGTCAAAGGCACCTAATAGGACAAGATGGCCCCTCGATCTCAGCTGATGTGGAAGGGTGGGATTTTCAAAAGCAGTTGACAATGGTCTAGCTCTGCCCCTAGGAAGCCAGATTTCTGGGTTAGACTGGCCACCAGCATTGAGAATCCCACACAGCATCCTCCCAAGGCTCTTACGAAATGAGGCCAGTAATCTTGGTCTGGTTCTGGAGGGATAAGCATCGCTCATAGCAGCTGCAAATCCCAAGCCTTTTCCAGCATCTGAATGAGCCAAGGGGGTTCAACTCTGTCACCCTACAGGCTATGCCTCCACGTGAGGCCTGAGGGCAGGGCCACTTGTGGTAGTTTTGGTTGTCACCGGTTGTCAACAAATGCAAGGCTTATGCTGCCCTGACATCAAGAGGCCATACTAACTCTAAGTGAAAACAACAGAAAGGCTCCCAGGGACCTAAATGGGATCTGGATTGGGCCCTAGAAGGAGAAAATAAATAGATGCCTTTAAGATGTGATTCAGAAGCACAGCAACAGTGTGAAGTGCTGCAGGAAGAATCGCTCGCTTCCCTCCAGATCAGAGTTAAAGAAGCCCACACACAAGCCTATTCATGAGGAAAGGGCCTGCTGTGCAGATCAGCCTTTTTTCATATGTATTCCCATTGTTTTAACACCAAAAAAGGGGAGTGTTTTGAATATCACCCACCAGGGCTTTGAGCATCGCTGCACTCGTGCACGCAGCTGTGTGCTATCTTTTGGAATGGGGACAGGAGCTTTCAGCTCAGCATTCATCGCTAGTGTCTCCGAGACAAAACCCTCCTGCTCTTTCGTGTGTGAGGCTGCTTGCACCAATTTTTCACCCTGAATTGTCTTTCCCTGGCTGCAAGTTGGTACTGTGCTGTCTGATGAACCAACCAAGCTGTTTCATTAAACCCTGCATCGTTCTAGGGCTATATCATTAAGTGTTTCATGCCACTTAATTGTGCTTCTCAACCTTACTATTTTATGAGGGAGTTTCCTATCAGTCTAACCATTGCCTTCCAGGTAGAGGCTGCAGATAATAGAGCAGGTAGGGCCCTTGGGAACCCAGAGATAGTATACTAGGACCCACCAACTCTTTCAGCCTGGGAGCATTGGGATTGGGAGTTGGGACTGGGAAGTTAACTGCTCGCTAAGGCAGGTTGGAAAACCCCTGCTGTTCTAGGTGGACTCTGGCTCCTCCGTAGCCAGGGAACTCTTCTGCGTAGAGGGAGGTAAGCAATGAACCCTCCCCAGGGTTTCAGACTGATCTGCAGGTGACAGGCAAAGTTGCACAAACTCACCAGGTCGCTGGCCTTGTTCCCTACATGCAGTTTAGGAGTCTTTAATCAAATAGTACAAACAGAGGAGCACTTCTGTCTCCAGCACTTCCCGTCCTGGCTTTTTCTCAGCACCCTCCCATGATCTGAGGACTGAGTTAGCTTCAGCTCCTACTCCTGAACCCTGAGCTTTCCTTTGGCTGCCCGTCCAGTTCCACACCAGCAGGTACCCTGATGTGCACAGCTGGGATCTGCCTTACCTGCCTTGATGTCACTGCTGAGCTGGGGCCCCTGGGTGTCCAGAGGCCGCTAACCTGAATCCATCCCAGACCCTACTAGGGTGAAGTGTGCTTTGATGCCTGTGCTGCATTCAGCCCTGCTGCAGTGAGTCTGAACTTGTGCAGTGTTTGTCCCTCAGCACCCTTCTCATCTTTAATGCTATTGAGCTAATATAGTGGCACAGGTGGATGTCATCTTAGAGGAAGACAGCCACTACTTAAGGGGATTAGGATACAAATGAAGTCAGTGGAAGCTTTTCCATTGATTTCAAATGGTGCAAAATTGGGCGGTTGTAATTTACATGTAGCATGCATTGAGACATTTTTCCTGAAAGTGGTCCGAGTTAGTTACGTGGGCCATGTGTGCGATCAGGTAATATCTGTGTGCCTAGCACCGAGCAGATGTTGTAGGTAATGTGCTAGCTCAGTGGTTGTCAACCGGAGGTACGCGTAACCCTGGGGCAGTGGTCTCCAACCTTTTTAAGTGGGAGATCACCTTTGGCATTTAAAAGCAACCCAAGATCTATCATGCGCTGCTGCCACCCCCCACCCCCCACCCAGCAGGTAAGTCGGAGGGCGGGGGGGAGATCAAGGCAGAAAGAGAAAACAGCACCCACCGCTGTGTGCACCCCAGGAGGGCATGGTGGGCATGTGCCTCCGCATCTGTGCAGGGCTGGGGCTGGAGGCTATGTTGGGCTCTTCCTGGTGGGGGTAATGGGCCTGGGCAGCACTGAGCTCTTCCTGGCAGGGGCTGGGCCAGGCTGCACTTGAGGTGGGTGGTGGCAGGGCTGGGAGTGGGGGGGAGTATGGTGAATTCTGGAGTGGCTGCAGGCCCCCCCACAGCCCCGCTTCCGTAGGCCCCCGGGCTGAGGGAGGGAGCGGGGCAGGCGCTGCCCAGCCGAGGTGGAGAATGGGATGGAGCCGAGCAGCTCATCCGGGGGGTGGTACCTCCCACCGCTGCACGCGGCCCGGGGGGGGCACATGCCCCAGGCTGTGTACGCAGGGCGGGAGGCTGCGGGCTCCGCGGCTGGGGCCGGAGCAGCGCTGGGTTATGCCCGGCGGGGTGTGGGGCCCGGCCGCGCCAGGACGCGGTGCTGGGGGCTACCGTGAGTTCGGGAGCGGCTGCAGTCCCTCCCGTAGCCCCCTCCCGATGCTGTCGCTGCCTCCCCCGAGCGCAGCCCGGGCCAGTCCCTTCCGGGAGGAGCCCCACGCAGCCCCGGCCCCAGCCTGCCCCTGTGCCGATCTGGGGGCACGTGCCCCCCCCGACGGGCCGCGGCTCCATCCCGCGCTCTGCCCCGGCTG